TTGCACTTGAGCAACCATTACTATTTAGTCTGTAATCATTCTTTATTGATCAAGGTTCAGCCTTTTTTTAAATTTAAAAAAAAAAAAAGTGTCCTCTGTATTGGGGGAGTTAAGAAACCATAACTTTCGTAATTCCTAAAAGTCAGAAATAGGAGACCTTGAGTTTATCATTCTGACTTGAGTCTTGTTGGTTCAGTGCATCCATAGTGTGATTTGATGATCTGTAATAGATGCCAGCTGTCATTCCATCAAGCTATTATTCCAAACTATTATTTTGCTTGCTAGACGTTGATCCAGAAGTACTTCTGTGACTGAGAGCTGGATTGATGTACTAATACATTTTAATTGTTCTGAACATAATTTATTATTATTATAGAATGTCCATAATGGGTAAGATCAAAGCGTCATGTAGCTCCTTAGCCTGCCCATCTATTGATGGCTGTCAGTAGAAAAAACCTTAAAAACAGGAGAAGTATAGCAGTAGAAAACCCCATGTTATTGTCAGCCTGCCCTCTGTGACTGCCTAAGATATGTAGTTTTCAATTTGGTCTTTTCAGCCCAGTTGTAGTGGGGTAAAAATAGAAGTGCAACTTCTATTATGTATTACAGTCTCTCTCTCTGTATGCACACATGCATATCCGATCTTACCCGGGGTGTGTGTGTGTGTGTATATATATATATGTATGTATGTATATTTATACACACACATACACACCTATACATATACACATATCTGTGTGTGTCTGTATATGTACATATATGTGTACATACACATATATGTGTGTAAATATTTATCCCTGGCAGAAAGTGGAGATGTGACTGCTGCAAAATCAAGTATCTCCTTTAGCAGACAATATTTGTTGATGATGAAAGACCTATATGAACTAAATATCATGAAGTGCCCTTTGAGGATTGTAACTAAATCTGTTCTGATACTTTACAAGTGAAACTGATATTTCACAAGGCTCTATTTCAGAGCTAGAGGGCACAATAAGGAGTGAATTATTTGGTGAAGTTTGTAACATTTCCTTTGGGAGACAGCTCCATTTCCTTAAGGAGCTGCAAGTTCAGGAGTTAGTCTTGGTATTTGGCCTTCATTTTTTGCTGTTCGCTTTTAGTGTTTCTGTGGCACTCTTTGAGTTTGCAGTCAGCTCTTCTCTTGCTTTCTGGGTGTAATCAAATGATAATTTTCATTCTGCATGTGAAAAGTTTGTGGCTACGTGTTGCTGTCCTCATACTGCTGTGCCAGTTCGACTGATCTCGGGGACTGCCTTTTTTTAACCTGAATATTGGTCTCACAAACAAGTGTTTTAGCACAGGTGCAAAGTGGATGAACTGTGGCACGAAAGCAAAACTTTGCAAGGGGAAGCCCCGCTGCCAACGACAACATATAGTAGGACTTGCCTCCTCCTTGCCACTTCAGAAATGGAAATCAACCACGAAGGACTTGCTTATCCCTTATTCAAGTGCTCTAGCTTAGTTACATTACACTTACAAGTTATTCTAAGGAAGCAAAAAGGAGATATGAAGAAGAAATGTTCTTCCCTCCTTTTCCTTTCTCCTCCTTTTTCCCAGTTCTCTCCATTTTTGCTAGAGAAAATAATTTGCTCTCTGATATCCCAGTTCCATGCAGGAATACTAATGCATGTGCATTTTCCCCTTTACATGTAGCGGATAAATGAATATTTCAAAATCCTATCCTCGATCCTTTTGGGTTTTTTATTTAAATTTCCTTCATAGCCAAAGCACTTCATGTATTTTGGAAAAAAACCTACTTGTTCAAAGTCCTTTTTCCAGACTTCTTGCTCCTCGTGAAATAAACTCTATCTTCTGGAGCAGGCTGATGCTACGTGTAACCTGTTCCTCCTGCCCCGCCATAGGTGTCTCTAGGTCAGTGCTAGTTGATTATTCTGTTTCCACAGCACTAGATGGTGCTGATGGCAGCATCTCTGAACTGCGAGTCTTCAGAAATACCAGTGCTTCTAAAAGTAGCACTGCTATTTCAGGTGAATGACCAGTTTTCAAATCCAAATTCTGATTTGAACAGAAATTTCTCTCTGTGAATACAATAGCCGATTATGGGAAGGAAAAGGATGGAAAGTCTATTAATATATCTTATTTCTTTGTTGCTTCTTTCCCTTTTAACAGAGAATGTTCTCTCTTTTTTCTTTTTCTTTTTTTTTTTTTCTTGATTAATAGCTGCAAATTAGGGTGAGGTTGACATTTGTTCCCAGGAATTGTGTAACGTCAGGGCTGTGCATGGTTCTGTCTTATAGCATAAAGGGGAAAAGAAGATTCCCAATGCTGGGGGAAAAAGCAGATTTCCTCTGGTCTTGCTCACTCTCTTAAAAAAAAAGGTGTTCATAACATTGTCAGGCATTCTATGTCATCCTGAAAACCCAGAATATTTCTCAGCCCTTATAACCATCGCAGGAAATAATCATTTTGGAGTCTTGTCTGACATTCGGGCCATTTCAGCCCAATCGAGATGATCCTCACCTCGGTGACAGCATGCCCATGAGGCTGGGACACTAGCAGCCAAGTTGCTGCCCCCGGTTTAGCCGAACGATCTTGTACAAGTTATTCACTCATCAAATTCTCTGGCTGAAAGTTGAGGATGGTGCAGCATAGCTTGGTGGGCTCTTGTGCAGGTTAATTGGATGTCTTCAGTGCGGCAAAGGTTATCCTCAAACCTAAGCTGTTAATCTGCTCTAAGAGAGAGCCAACTGAAGAGGTGCTGGAGAATGATAGAATTTCTTGAATTGGCTCTTGAGAGGTAAGATTTGGTCTTAAGAAACGTAACTAATTCTTAAGAAACGTAACTAATTCCTTGTGACTCCCCCAGAAGCCTGCTGGAAAAGCTGTTGCCTTTTCCTGAGACTCTTGATTAACAATAAGGGGACAAATCCCTGCTATTCTGAGGAACCTACTCCTACGTGCCGCAAAGGATTTGATGGCAATGTTACATTTAAAGGAAGTGAAAAATAAAGGCGACTTCCTCAAATTCTGAGCAACATTTCTTTAGGCAGAAAAGCTTTCCAAGCACGTTCCTCCAAGGCCTGAATTTGTCCCAGTTCCAAGAAATATAGGCCATCTATAACGCAATGCTGGCACTTATTTTTTTAGGTACTAAATGGGCATCAATCTGTTCTAACTGAATCTGGTGAACAAGGAGTCAGCCACTGCTCCTTGTCCAAACATCATGCATAAGCAAATCCAGAGAGTGACACACTTAAGCATTAGTGGATTGTGTTGGAGTTGTCCAGACAGCCTTCTTGCCCTCTGAGGACCCTTCCAGTTATCCTAGGAAAGTCTGGCTCCAAAAAGAAGCCAAAAGAATATTTTTAAATGCAGAAAGTCTTAAAGCAACAACCTATGCCAAGGTTGGAGGGAGTATTTCTTGCACATATTATCATCTGGATTTCTGAACACATGAAAAAGAGTTTTGTAATCAAGCATATAAATTAGGGTACAAACCAACCCAAACTACTCAGCCAGCTAGGTAGGATCCACTCGGTCCAAAGTCTCAGAAGGAGTCACAGGAACGAACATCTAGAAACTTCACAGATCCATGCTCGGGATAGACAATTTTGGGGAAAACACATTTCAGATTTAATGTGATTTCATGAAAATTGCTCTCTGCAATTTACTTAGCTTCTTCTACTGTACCTCTCTGTAATATTTGAATGTCCTCCTTGCACCCTTCCCCTTTCTAAATGTATCACTTAGTTTCATCTGTGTCAGTCTCTATCTCTGTGTGGTGTCTGCTGATAGAAATCCGTGATTCGCTTATACAGCAGCTTTATGGAAACGTCTGGGCGTTGGAAGCTACTAAGCACTAGCAGTAGTCCTGTATCCACTGCTACTATTTACTTCAGGTCTTTCCTGTGCCTTTGCACTCAAGTTATATTCTTCGGTTGTATCAAAATATCCCATCCTCTATGAGTGTCACCATGCAAGGAGCGACTTTCTTAATTCCACCCCGTGCTGCTGTCTGTCCTCCTACAAATCCGTATATCAAGTCCCGTTATTTCAGCCACTCTTCCTGTGCTGGGAATGTTACAGGCTCTGTGCAGCCTTGTTGTTTTCCAAACACGACTATCATCTCTCCCAAATTCGCTTTAGATCATAAGATTATTGCTAGAGGGATCTGTCCTGGGTTGTATTTGTGAAGCAGCGCACGTCTTTGGGTTTGGATATTCAGTACTATCTTGTGAAGTCTGCAGTGACAGCCTGCGTACGAGCTGTGTAACATCTGGCGATGCTATTATTTGTATGACTGGCACAAAAGAATCACAGTAGGATTTTTTAATGATTCAGGATTGCTAATTTCATCAAATTAATGCAATTTAGAAAAAGACACTGACATGCTCTTTTCAAAATGCATGAAAAAATACTTTCTCTATTATGTGTGTGGACCTCTGACTTCACAGATTGTAAAACTAACATGATACTTCATTGACTTGAGCTAAAATAAATTTGAGAAGTACATGTTATAGTAAAAAGCGTAAATTCAGCCCCTGAATATCCAAACATTCTGTCTAATACTTGAATTCTTTCTATACAGAACACTTAAGTCGCTGAAAAAAATACTAAGGATAAGGAGGGAAAATAAGTATATTGCATGAGATGCTGAACTTAAAAATTGCATTTTAATGAATACCTATTGGTTATGAATTAAAAATGCATGTATAACACTAATTCTGTTATAGTTTGACTTTTAATAACTTAACTATGAAAATATGATGTTCTTATCACTTACTGTATAGAATATTTCTATAATTCACATACTGCTGTTGTTTATCCCAGATGTGTAAAAAACAAAAAAAAACCAAAAAAACAAAAAAACCCTATGTAATGGTTGTGCATTGCATTGTATTTTTAAAAATGTCTTTACTCAAGTTTGTGTGTATGATGAAGTACTTCTTCTGACTGAATTGTCTATCTGAGAGAATAACTGTGAATATATTTGAATGTTTCCCCCCCTTTTTTTTTTCCAGTTTGTTTTCTTTGTTATCCAGAAAACACAACAAAGTTTTGGAGCAAGCCACGCAGTCCTTAAGAGGTTCCCTCAGTTCAAATGACTCTCCACTTCCTGATTATGTGAGTATTGAGCTTAATGTTCTAGTAGGTGCTTCAAAATAGAAGTAATACATCCCTAAATCTGCAAAGATTTATCAAAAGTGTGACAACTAAGCAACCACCAACACCAAAATACAGGAACATCTATGAATGACATCATGTCTGAAACTCTGTTTAAAAAAAAAAATTACACTTACAAATGGCAAACCCGCAACTATTCATAGCTAAGAAACGTACTGTACGCTGTCAGCTTGCAATTTTCAAGACATTTGCATTTCAAGATATATATACCATGCTGTTAAAAACATTATTTTTAAGAACAGGACTTTGGCATCCACAGTATCCAAAAAATGATTGAAAACAATTCCCAGTGAACCTTTGGGACAGTACTGCTGTTGTGGATCAAATTGGCATATTCTGAACATTTGTATATACACAGAGCTCTTACCAGTTTGCTCAGCCACTACCCACACACAGTCCATGATTTGGTGATTTAATTGCATTGTTGCTGGAAAAATCTCTAGCTTCATTACAAGAAGGAGACTTCAAGGACTTAAATAGCACTTTCATACTCCTTAAGTATCTTTGGTTTATACTCATTTGAACTGTCATATTGTGTAAAAAAGTTATCTTGTTTTTTTTCGGTTGCTCTGAATTTTTGAGGATAAAATTGTAAAACCTCTTTTATTCTGAGAGTTAATACATGTTCCAGGACACACCTGTCTGAGACTTTACATATTATATTACTCTAGTGTTAAGTATAGAAGTTCCAAAAAAAAAATTACTTTTATATAATAGTTTAATAACTTTAATTTAATTCAACTAAGCTTATTTCTTAACCTGCATCTCTCGGTTACTACTGCTGGCACGCAACACAGAAACTAGAGATGTTTTGCTATTCAGAGACAGTCTGGTTTATAGAGCAAATAAATCACTTGCAGCTTTTTCCTATATATCCTTGCTATCTTCTATATCATATCTTAATTCTTAGCAAGTTCCTTACAACGCCTGTGATTTTAGGGCCTCTGATTTGTCTCTGAGAGGTTGCTATGTGACTTTTAGTTTATCAGCTGTGTTGGAACCCCGGACATTTCAGAAAAACCCCTCACGCTTGTCTGTATTTAAAGAGGAGAAGGAGATGTACATTTGTCTTGTGAGATGATACCCAAGCTCTCTTAAAGCTCTTTCACCGGCATAGGCATGAACAACCGTGTGGCCCGTAGCCTTCAGATACCTTGCAGAGGATTTGACGTGGCAAGCGGCCCTTCCCCTTGGGTTCAGTTCTCCGTCAATATGACCTGAGGATGTAGCAGCACGCTTGTAAGGGCTGCCGTATTTTGGACGCATTAAACGTTTCTGACTGCTTTGATTGGTAAGGCTCTTGGGCTGTATTTCTTAGCGGTGATTAACCCCAGTGTCATGTCAGGTCCTGACTTAGGCATTGGCATCACTAAATGTTCACGTTTCTCCTTTGGTCTCGTCGTTCTGGTCTGTCTTGGAAGGTTACGGTGTTTCAGTCGGCTTCCATGCCAAAGCGATGTTGCTTCGGTGTAGGTGAGGTTTTTAATGCCTGGCCGGCAGACCTTACCTCGTTCTGCAGAGAGTCGCAAAACAGTTAGAACAGAAGTTCCCAGTGCTACACAGCAGCAACCGTGGCTGTCCTGGTCCATGTCTGTGGATTTGCGCTGTCAACGTGAACCAGATCAGTGAATAAAATGTAAAATACCTCCCCATTTTGTAGGCTGTCTTCGGTAAGATAATGCTGTGCGACCTACAGTGTCGCAGCAGAGTGTCCACCCGCAAGGGCCGAGGGGATGGAGCTCTGTACGCCGGCGTTGCTGCTAAAGGCTGGGTATTTTGAAACGAATCACTGAGGCATTGTGGGGCCTTAGTCAACTCCCAGGCACCTGCAGGTGCCTAGATAATAGGGCCAACATTTTTAACGCTAATTTTTATTCCTAATGCAGAATGCAGTTGTATGTGGCCTTCTGCCTGAGGGAGGATACTGGTTTTATGAGAAGAGACCCTTAGATTTGCTCCCCTAGGAAAACCAAGTAACCATCCCGAAGTTCAGAGGAAAGAAAACAGCATCATGCACACATAGATATTCAGGTACACATATATGTATATTTGCGCACACATGCATGTGCATATATATTTGCACGTGTGTGTGCATGCATGCTTGTGTATATAAATATGTATTTGTATGCATATATAAACTTAGTCTTTGAAGACTATTTTATAATAGGTCTTGGACTTCTTTGCTTACTGGATACCAACACTGCAGCCGAGGAAAGAAGCCATGGTGCTGTGGGGAACGGGCACGGGGACAGATCCGTCCCCTCACAGATGGAGGCAGCTGAGAATTGCAGTTCATAAAGCACTGCTGGGTCGATAGTTAGATACTTTACTCACTTTCTTCCTTTTTATTATTGTTATGATGTTGGTCAGAAGGGTGGGGAGGAGAATGACAGCAGTTGGAAAGACTGCTTTAGAGAAGAATAAAATCACTGAAGTTTTTATTGCCTGTGTTTTGAAAGAAGAATGCGTATTTTTATGCATGGCTTTTTTCCATAATTGCTCAGGTGCCAACTCAATCTGAGGAATACTCAGCTGATGAAAGTTGAGGCAAGGTTTCATTTACTTGCGTTGAGCATCACAAGCATAGTCTGCTTTTGAAAACCCATGTTTATATTGTATGTTTTCTGAAAGGGTGTGTTAGATGGGTGCAAGAATGCCCCAAGAAGCTTAAGGACTGAAGATCCTAGGCACTTAGATAAATTAAGTGTCTGAAGTCTTGAAACCACTATTGACTGAAAAGGGATTTCCTCTTTTCCATCTCTCTGTTCCACCACTGTCTTCCAGCATGGAACTTAAAAAATAAAAAAAAAATAAAAAAAAAAAACCACGGATGATGCCAAGATTTCCTTCTCTACTCCAGATTTTTGTCTAGAGAGGAGAAGAATTATTGAGTAGCCTAATCTCTTAGCAGGTTTCGTTCAGACCAGTCTTAAATACCTGTTTTAAGCATGCGGTTCTCTTGATTTTTAATTCACTCTTATACCTGGCTTTTTCTTAATGTGTTCTCTAATCCAAAAGTGAATTTATATGGTCCCAAGGTCACATGGGAATAAAACATACATAAAATTGTCCTGTGTTGCTTATGTTCTCATCTTCCTTTGCATGTCTTTCTGCTCATTTGTGAGTACTAGACTTTGAAAAATAATTGCGGTAAATAGTTTGCATGCCTTCATAGGGCCGTGAAGGAAACAGGCGGCAAAAATCAGCATGTATATTCTGTAATTGAGCCCTGTCCGTTGTGCACATCATATGAGGCAGAGGTCTGGTGGATTAAAATAAGAAAAGGTAATGGGCTTGGTGTGGTTCTACTTAGTAAAGCTAGATTGGTTCCCTGATCTGGTGCAAGGTTAAGCCCCAATAAAGTGTAGTCAATACAAGGCAGTGAAGGGAAGTGGCCTTATGGGGACAGGGACACGATACAGGCGCAGGAAGGTGCAGCTAGAGGGGCGGTGAGGGGAACCCGTTACGCTGGTGTTGCTGCCAAAAAGCTGCGTCATCAAATAAAACCTGTCCTCAGATGCGGGCTGTTTGGTTAGACCAATTCTCAGTCTATGCCATGCTGGTACTTTGCTTACGAGTCGTTTAATAAGTTTCTTAATAAGCAGTGTTTTCGTGGTAGCAATTACCTGTTTCGAAGCAGCACACTTCTGTCAGGTTGTCCCCGTCTGCAAGCATCTCCAGGCTTGAAGAAACGTGAAAAATTCAATTAGATTGTTTATAGCTTTCTTGCATTCAATGAAAGCACGTTTACTGAAGTTTTTAACTAGCAAGATAGCCTGTAATTAAAATGATCGAGAATTGTGCTTCTTTCAGTCCAAATAAAAAAAAAATTGAAGTAAATGTATCATGTTTTTATTTTATTTTCTTACATCCTAATGTCATTCTTTAAATCATAGCTATGTAGCAGCGTAACCAGAGGCACGCTGACTTCCCTGGGAAAGTAGTGCATCAGACCTGTTTTTGGAGTTTTGCAGTATGCCCAAACTCTTGCTCTGTAAGGGTTTCATAGCATTGTGTGTGTGTTTTGAGCACTTCATTACGTGGTGGACCACAGCTGGCTATGAGGTCTCCTCTAACTGTTTCTTAGGAGGAAGGGAGGAGGAGAGGAAGAAAATTTTGAACTTTGGCAAGCTTATGCTAAGGAATCAGAATTCTCTCCCAGATCTGATATAAGGATTTATTTTAGGTAAAATTTGAGGAAAATAAAAATCAAATGTAGGAACAGTTTTACATTCAAGTAATTTGGCAAGCATTATTGCTTTGGTCATCAATATATATTTGGCTACATAGCTGTGATTTAGCTTCCAAATTTATTTCAACATAATTTAATGCCACGCGGAAAGGAGATTTTATGGCAGTAGGAGTTGAACCTTGTTTTCGTGGCGATGGACTTGAGGACCCAGTTAAATGAAGACTCCTTGGAGCGTATTTTCAGACTCATTCACCATCCACAACAGTTCTGAGCACCGAGGTGCTGCTGTCTGCTGAGAGATCTGAACTTCTAAGTCTTTATTTTCAGGCTAGCTAACTAACGTCCATGAGGATTTTACCTGCAGACTTTTGTTGGTTGATGAAATAGTATGGACAGAAAATAGCTTAGCTGATTATAGTTGGTAGCTGATGGCTAGCCACACAGGAAAAACTGTAAAAATTCATTTCTGTTTAACTTTTTTTGTTTTACTTTCTAAATATTGGCTATAAAAAGTGGATTTCATTCCAAATACGGCTTAAACAGGAAGAAATTTAAATATAATTCCATTTAGTGCTGAGATCTACAATTATTTCATATGTAGGACTGTCATTTAAACAGCACTTGAACGGTGGAGGAATTCTGTCAGTGCTGGAAGTAATGTAACACAGGTACACTTTTTGTACAGTTTATAGAAATGTACTCCTCTGAATATATGAAGAGCCATCCTTTAAACTGCTGTGCAAAATCT